TTCTTTGACTAAGGGGTGATTTGGAAGTGTGTTATTTAGTTTCCAAGTGTTTGGGGATTTTCTTGATATCTTTCTGCTATTGATTTCTAGCCAACTATAATCAGAGGACATACTTTGTAAGATTTCTATTCATCTGGTTTTGTTTTATAACACAGGATATGGTCTGTCTTGATAAATGTTCCACGTGACCTTGAAAAGAATATATATTCAGCTGCCTTTGGGTAGAGTGCTTGATAAAAGTCAATGAGTTCAGGTTGGTTGGTGATGCTGTTCACTTCTTTTATATACTTGCTGAGTTTCTGTTAACATGTTCTACCAATCACCAAGAGAGAAGCGTAGAAGTGTCCAACCCAATTGTGAATATGCTTGTTTCTCCTTTCACTTTGGTCAGTATTGCTTCGTTATTTTGAAACTCTTCTGCTGTGCCTACATATTCAGGATTGTCACAGCTTCTTGACAAACATCTTTCTGTCACTATGGAATGTCCCTCTTTATCCCTGTTAATTACTCTACTCTCACTTCCACTTTGTCTGATGTCAGTGGAGCCATTTTAGCTTTCTTTTGATTAATGTTTGCATGTTATGTATTTTTCAATACTTTTAATTTATCTATCTTTATATTCAGAGTGGGTTTCTTGTAACCCACACTTGGGTGGGCCTTCTTTTAATTGGCGTGTTTAGACCGTGTGCATTTAATTTAACCATTGCTGTGTTTAGATTTGAGTCTCCCAATTTATTACTGTTTTCTGCTTGTTCCTTTTGTTTTTCATTCTTCTGTTTTCCCGTCTTACCTTCTTTTGAAGTATTTGGATATTTTTTAGAATTTAATCTTAATTAACTCATCTGTTGATTTCTGGACTATATTTCTGCATGCAGTCTTTTTGGAAGTCGCTCGAGAGATTATTATAAACATACCATTTGCTCACAGCCCACTTAGAATTAATATTTTATCACTTCAAGTAGAATGTGGAAAGCTTACCCCCATATGTGCCCCTTTCCTCTCCCCACTTTGTGGTGTTGTTGTCATATGTATTACATCTCTATACTTTGAAAATTCCATTAGACATGGTTAAAGTTTTGCTTTCAGCCATCAGGCATATTTTAAAGAACTTATAGGAAAAAATAATCTATTGTAGTAACATATATTTATTCTTTTTATCACTCTTCTCTTATTTCTGAAATTCCACATTTCCCTCTGGTATCATTTCCTTCCGATGGAAAGAGTGCCTTTGGAATTTAATTTAGAGCAGTGGTTCTCAACTGGGTGCTATTTTGCCTCCAAAGGGCAATATCTGGAGACATTTTTTATTGTGACAACTGGGGAAAGGTGGGTACTCCTGGCATCTAGGGTGTGGAGTCCAGAGATGCAGCTAAACTTCCTACAATGCACAGAACAGCCCCACAACACAGAATTTTCAAATCGGAAATTTCAACAGTGCTGTGCTTGTGTGAGAACAAGTCTGCTGGTGACACGTTCTCTTAGTTTTCCTTGATCTGAGAATGTGCTTATTTTGCCTTTATTTCTGAAGGATGCTTTGGCTGGATGTCACATCCTGAGTTGACAGTTCTTTTCTTTCAGTACTTTAAAAACTCGAGTCCACCGTCTTCTGATCTGATAAAAAAGTTTCAATCTTTCTAATAGTTTTTTCCCCATATATAATGTATTATCTTTCTCTGGTTTCTCTCAAGATCTTTTCGTCTTTAGTTTTTGGAGTTTGATTTTGATGTGTCTGGTATGGATTTCCTTAAACTCTTGCGGTTTGAAGTTCATGCAGTATCTTGAATCTGTACATTTATGTCTTTCACCAAAATTTGGAAGTTTTTGCCCATTATTTCACCTAATGTTTTTTCCACAGGATGTTTTTCTGTTCTCTATTTGAGACTCTCTTGGCATGAATGGTGAACCTTTTGATCTTCTTCCACAGGTCTCCGAGGTTCTGCTCATTTTTTTCAACATTTTTCTCTCTGTTGTTTGTAAAGTACAATTTCTATTGGTCTATCTTCAAGTCAGCTCCTCTGTCATCTCCGTTCTTCTGTTGAGCCCATCTAGCGAATTTTTAAAATTTCCGCTATTGTATTTTTCAGTTCTAAAATTTCCACTTTGTTCATTTTTTTAAATAACTTCTACTTCTCCGCTGAGACTCTCCATCTTTCCACTTGTTCCAAGAGTGTTCGCTGTTACTTCTTGGAGCATGTTAGCATGTTATAACGGCTGCTTTAAATTCTCTCCGATGATTCAAACATCTGGTCACCTTGGGTTTGGTAGATGTTCATCATCCTTTCCATCGAGAATTTGTCAGATGAAATTTACTGGTTTTTCAGATGTTGAGCAACTTGGGGCTTCATGCTGGGCATGTTGAATATTGTTATAAGGCTATGGGCTTTGCTTAAATCCTCCAGAGAATGTCGAGGTTTTGGTTTTTGCTTTGGCAAGCAACGGATGCAAATGTTCAGAATGTGTGTTCGAACACGCCTTTGATGAGCTATGGCTCTAGTGTCAGTTTAGTTTTCAAAGCCTTTGCAGTGTTATTCAGATCTGTTTTGCATGTGCATCACTCATTGGCAAGTCTGGATCCTAGGGGGTTGATCTACCCCAAGTTCTCAAAGCCTTTGGCATGATGTTTTGGGTCAGTTCCATGCATGCTCAGGTTTGGGGAAAAGCCAAGAGTTCATATAAAACTCATGGCATCGTTTTGTTGATCTGCTCTCTCTCCTCAGTCTCCTCCACAATCTCTGGCTCCCAGGGATCTGCCTCCCTGGCCCTCTGGCTAGAAAGCTGGGGCCTTAGTTTCCCCAGTCTGCCTCACACTTACCTTGAGTGTATCTATCTACAGGAGAATAAAGAGAGAGAAAACATAATGGAAATTCCACCCACACTCTTCAGACATATTCCTCTCAGGAGAGAGAGAGATTCCCCCAGTCAGAGTTTTAGATGCCTACCCAGATCCCACTCCTCTACTGTCACGGGGCTACAGCTGCAGGAGTAGGACCTGCTAGGGGACCAGAATGTCCTCCTTTCTCTGTTCCTTTCTATTCCTCAGACCAAAAGGACAGCCTTCCCTTGGAGCCCTTTCTGTCCTTGCCTGGGCATCATTCCAGATCCCATGCTGCCTTGAGGTCCAGACTGGTAGATACAGGAGAAAAGAAAGAAAGAAAAACAAGAAACTCAACTCCTGATGAGTCATACTGTGAACGATCTGGATCCCTTCTCCAATAGGCTGCTACTGTTGGCTTTTCACAATCCTCTGCTAGCTGCTCTGTGAGGTCTGTCTGGAGATTTAGTTTTCTCCAGCGGGAGAGAACGAGTGGAGTGTGCTTTTTCCATCTTAACCAGAACCAGAACTGTCCTATGTCAAACTTTTGACTACGAAAGCTTTAAATTACTAACTTAAGCAAAGACCTTAGAAAAAATATAGCATGCTTTGTATGCAAATGATCAAAAGGGGGAAAAAATTCTAACAATATTATTTCAACATCACAGAATCACATGAGGAATGTCAGAGCTGAAAGAGACTTAGGGTCACCCAACTTGTCCCTCTTGAATTCTTTTTCTCCTCGCCTGCTCAGCTGGGGGATATTTGGGGAGTATGTGCATGTGTGTTTGTGTGAGACTTGTATCTTACCAGAAAAACAAGATTAGCAGATGTATAAAATTATGCTTCATAATGTTAATCCAGCATGTACCACATTTTTGATGCTCAATCCTGGTAAACTGTATTATTATTTGGAGGGTCACACGGCTTAATATCTCCACCATCCTGAATGTGTGCAGCTCAGCAACACCCCCCATGCCTGCCTGTCACAGTTCTGTTCTAGTCCATTGCAGCAATGCCTACCCATGGCACTCTTCTCCCCACCCCCTCTCTACCAGCCTCTGAGCCAGTCTCCTGCCTTCCAGCTTCCCTCTACGTGTTGTCCACACCATCATCAACATTCTATCTCCAACAAAACTATGGTCATGTACCAAAACTCCTCAGAGCACAAGTCTCTGTTGTTGCCCTTACTTGCTTCCAAATCTTAGAAATGTTCCTATCCTTTATTTTATTAATTTTTTGGTGTGGAAGAGTGGAAGATTGGCCCTGAGCTAACATCTGTTGCCAATCTTTATCCTTTCTTCCTTTTTCTCCCCAAAGCCCAGTACCTAGTTGTAAGTCCTTCTAGTTCTTCTGTGTGGGATGCTGCCACACCATGGTTTGATGAGCAGTGTGTAAGTCCGCACCCAGGATCCAAACCCCAGGCCACTGAAGTGGAGTGTGAGAACTTAACTACCATGTCACCAGGTTGGCCTCCAAATGCCTTTTTTTTTTTTTTTTTTTTGAGGAACATTAGCCCTGAGCTAACATCTGCTGCCAATCCTCCTCTTTTTGCTGAGGAAGACTGGCCCTGAGCTCACATCCACGCCCATCTTCCTCTACTTTTTATGTGGGACGCCTACCACAGCATGGCTTGCCAAGTGGTACCACTTCCGCGCCCGGGATCCAAACCAGTGAACCCCAGGCCGCTGGGGCGGCACGTGTGAATTTAACCACTGAGCCACCAGGCAGGCCCCCTCATATGCCTTTTTAAAGAAAAACTAATGCCCTTGCATCTTTAATGTTGTCTCAAATTATATCATATCATTCTGGTTACATTTATTTTACATATTTAAATGTGTTCAATCACAAAATTATGTGTAAGTACACTATTCTTATACTTTTATTTAGCTATAAAACAAATCCAACTTCATGTGAACACAAAACTATAAAACCAGCATTATATTAAAGTCCTGTATTTAATAAGAATCACGCTGCTGTTTCATTCTAACAGAATGACGGATGATGGGGAGGAAAGCGTGGCCTCGGGTTCAATTCTGTATTTAACATTTAGCTTTATTTTCTAATAAGAATACTACTAAGAATTCTTGTTTGATTTTCAAGGTACATTAAAGGGTAACAAGCACTTTAAGGATTTATTCATTAGTTCAGGATACTCCTATCTCATAATTAACAAAAAACGCCAGAATCAATCCTCAAAAATCACTTTTAATGAACCGGCTCCTGATAAATTAGTCAAATTGTCTTGTTTACTTGAAAATACAACAGCTATTGTTCTATTCCTTGAATATACTTTAGATTTCTAGTATTATCTCTATCTTTCCAAGGAAAACAGGAAAACTCTTCAATAGTCACTCCAACACTCGCTGCCAACAAATGGTCGTGATGGGATGGTGTCAGGCCAGGCTGTGCAAAGAATGTCCACTCGCTCGTAACCCCAGCATTGGCTAATGGAGTCCGGGTTCTTGTGACGTTGGCATGTCGATGTCCCCGCTCAGTGCAATGACTCAGTCTTCACACACCTGTTCCCATTCAGACTACTGTGAATACTTCCCGTGACCGCGTTTGCTGTGCTTGGTGTGAAAGCAACGCTCGACACAAAAGGGCAGTGGCACAAATTCAAGTGAGAGTGATCTGAGTCAAGTTCATCCACATTGGCCCTCAGATGATACTTGTGACTTTTTTATTTTTAAATGTCATCCATATTAAAAGCCGGAAAGTGCTCACAGATTTAAGGGAAAAGGTCCACAGGTCTCCAGCACCCTGCAGAGCTCAGTTTGAGAAACACAGATTTGTAGCATGAACTCTACCCCCTCAGTGAGGCGCACCTGGCCCGACTCACATCAGGACGAATTATCCGTCGCTGTTCCCATCCGTGCATCATCGTGAGCGCTCTGCAGCTCCTGACACACTGGCCCTCTCATCGGCCACCAAATGCCAGGTCCTTGAGGACACTTTGTTTAAAGGTCCTTTACCTCGTTTGCCCAAACACATCCACTGACCCACTGAAATGCCACAAGCTCAGTGGCATTTTCCTGTCCCCTCAGCAGAAGCTGTTATTTCATGTCCATGCCCACATCACCATCCCAGCACCCAGCATGTGGAGCGGTTCAGCCTCAGCACCAGCCTTTCTTCCTCTAGAACACCGGTTCTCTCAAAGACGAGGCTGGGTCTTACTCACTTGTTTCCACAGCGCCTGGTGCAGTCCCTGAAAAGGATAAGAAATGTAAAAGTACGATAAATGAAAATAAAAATGAACGAATACACAAAAATGCTGAAATTGAAGTGCACAAATGGAAGCTAGAGAGCCGGGCTACATTTCCTAGTCGTTAGGACTTTAAGCAGGTCCCCATTAAGGAATTAAGTGTGTGATCATCAGCCATAAAAATGGGACTATCGGGGTCAAGCTTTCCTACGTCATGGCGTTGTTGGGAGATGCAAGATCAACTTGAAATGGTGCATACAAAAGAATTTCTAAAACTAACCTTGAAGTGCTAAAGAAATGATTGCCAGGATCATAGCACCGCTGGGCTCCCAAACACACTCGCGTTTGAGGAGCAGGTCTAAATCTAGACTGAGATGAACAGTAGAACTTAAAAACAATTTTCAATGTTTTTTTCAGGCAATCAGAATTTCTAGCTAAAAGCCCTAATCCATCTAGAGCGTGGGACTGGTGACCTCTATGCTAACTCACGTTCTCTGCACTGCACAAGTAACTTTTAATCTCAGCTGATATAATTTTAGATAGAGCCCGAAAACACCCTTAGCCTGATAGTACTAAGTCCAAGAAAATGCTCTGCACGCAGATCATAGAGTGAAGCCCCTGGTGTCGACTGAGAGATCAATCTGTGAAAGAGGCGGCTGGCCCTGGCTGTGACTTTCAAGGCCAGCTTTGCCATGTTCTAACTGCGACTTTGGACAGATTCATGGATTTCTCAGAGCCCTAGCTTTCTCATCTGTACCAGCCTCACGGGGACAACTATGTGAGATGATCTATGTTGTCTATTTCAGTAAGATGATGTGTAAAATACAGGGGCGTAAACTCATTTAACCACCAGGGACCTGCCTTCCAGAACAAGAACTTTGAAAAGCTGATGGAGAGGCCAGCCCGGTGGTGCGGCGGTTAATTTTGCAAGTTCTGCTTTGGCGGCCCGGGATTTGCCCGTGTGGATCCCAGGTGAGGGCATGGTACAGCTCATCAAGCCATGCTGTGACAGGCGTCCCACATATAAAGTAGAGGAGGATGGGCATGGGTGTTAACTCAGGGCCAGTCTTCCTCAGCAGAAAAAGGAGGATTGGCAGCAGATGTTAGCTCAGGGCTAATCTTCCTCAAAAAAAAGAGAAGCTAAAGGAGTGGGGAAAGACTCCCATGGGACAGGGCTTCTGGGAGCACGTTGGAGTGTGATGTGCTGCTGACCATGAGCCTTCCGCCTTGCTAAGTGGAGTGCCAAGCTAAGGTAAGAGGTGGATATAACTGAATCACAGGGCAAATCTTGAGAAATGGTTTCTGCGAAGACGACGAGGAGAGAGAGCTTGCTAACATGTGAGAGGACTTCTTTACTGAGAAACCGAAGTATTCAACAACTCTCTGTGTGAAGTTTTGTTATTGCCGTGTGGTAACTGTTTGCCTGGCTTTCCCAAAATCTGCAGTGGGAATCCGCAGCCCCTCGTTCCGAGGTTGCAGGGGGAAGGCAGCCCGTCAGAGGTCATTGTCAGGCATCGAGACCCCTCGCGTGCACAGAGCCAAGCGGACGAGACCAGTCTGACTTTATTTTTTCCCATCAAATCGTCAGTCGACAGTTTTCCTCCAGTGGGCATTTGGGAGTCCCTCCTCCTTCCAGCCTCCCTGCTCCTCTGCTTCCAAGAAATCTTCTGGGTCTTGTGCTTACCACCCCCACTTGCACCCTGAGGCCCCCCGAAGTCAACTCCAGGTGGGTGCTTCAGGCTCTGGGCCTTCTGCAAAGCAAGCAGGCCCTCACTGGGAGTGCGGCTCCTTTCCGTGGCTGAGCCTGGCTGTGTTGGTGTGTTTCTCTCCCAAGAGGAGGAGAGATGGGAGGAGGAGGAAGAAACCTTTTCCTAGCAGAGCGGTGTCTCCTGTCAATGCTCTGCAGGCTCCTGTTCCCTTAGGGGACTGCCGGCTGGCCTGGGGTGGTGGCAAGGGCTACAGCCCCGGACCTGTCATCTGCGGGTGGCTACTGCTCTTCTGCCGGTCAGATTTTGTCAAGTTCTCTATCCTTGCTGACACGGTTACCATACCCTACAGGTTGGAGCTGTCCCTTCTCCCTTAGAGGCCCAGCCATCCTGGAAAGGTGTCAGCGCCCGTAACATCTGCCCTCCAGCCCCCTAGTTGGCAGCCTGAAAGCAGCTTTGAGGATCAAAGAAGTTCTAGAATGATACAAGACTTAGAGATCAAGGAGACTCACCTGTTCTTTCAAAGGACCTGAAGAATGCCCGTTCAGGGAGCCTCAGAGACTGAATTTAACTGCGGGGAGGTTCGATTACAAGATGAATGGTACAGGCTGATTACACACGAGGCCGAGGGGCTGGAGAGGAGAGCAGGGCCCCCTGACAACCACAGCCGTTCCTGGTACGCTTGGCAGGCAGCCAGGAGGAGCCCGGGGCCAAGGTCGTTGGGGGTGTGCTGACAATCCAGTGAGATTGTGCAAAGCCTGGAGAAAGGTCACGGAGTAAGACAGCGAGGAGGGGACGGGGGCGGGGGGCAAAGGCAGAAAAGACAGCAAGGTCCTCTGGGGACCGAGAACAATGCCTTATAAATCGTTATAAACTGCACGTCTTAACGGGCTCCGTTCTGTCTCTTGGAAAGGCAACCCCGCTCCAGAAAACTGCTGACAACACGCACCGAAACGAGCACAGCTCTGCCTGAACTCATACGCCCCTCAAAATAGGGGCGGGGGCGTCTCGGGTCTGCTGGTCCCCGAGGAGCCCCAGGCTCATTAGGACCAGCTCTTCAAAGCCTTAATGTTGTCTGTTCTTGTCCCACAGGCTGTGATTTCCTCTTTTGAGCAAACCCTGTGCTCAGAGGGCGGGGCCCACAGTGAGTTAGTACAACAAACTGGCTCTCTGTGAGCCTGAAGAGGGAATATTTATTTCGTTTTGACCCAGATATATTTGCAGTCTCATCGTACTGGTTACGGCATGGCTCTGTCATCTCTAGGAGTGTTCCAACATCAACCAAGCCTGTTGGAGGCAGCCCCAGGGTGGAGGTATGTTTCTCTCCCACAGCTCTCTTGTGAGGCGATGCCATGACCATCAGGGACCCAGCCCCTCATCTCCTGTGCTACCAGGGCTGCTGCAGTGCCAGGCCACAGAGCTCTCCTCCCATCAGGAAGGTGGAAGGAAGGGAGAGGAAAAGGGGTGCCTCTGTCAGTAGAGTCATCCTTCTCATGGCCCCACAGGCAGCAAGGACAGCTCAGAAATGTGCCTTATGGGCCCCGGCCCCATGGAACAACTCCGGGCTCTGTCCCGGAAGAGAAGGAGAACATGGATGCAGGGTCGACCTCCCCACTTCCCCTCTCGCCTTTCATCTAGAGAATTTAGATAATTGCCAGCCAGCTATGTAGTTTGGCTGTAGGACACATTTTAATGCATTTATTGGATGAAAAACCCAAAGAAGTCACCGACCTATTGACATGAAAGAAACACTTTGTCTTTCTAAAGTGAATCAGATCTGGCTTCTAGCCGGCACTTATCAAGCGGGAAGGCCTACAATAATCCCGTCTCTGGCTCCTTTCCCATCCCTTGGGTTGTCCGTGCTAACACTGTCCAGGGAAATGGGGAGAGAAGCCTCCCGCCATTTCTCTATGAAGCAGCGGCACCGCCGGCCCCTGCCAGTCGGCCTGCCTCCCGGTGCTTCCTCTAGCAAACCCTGCCTGGGGTCCTTTCCCGGGCTCCCGGCAACTTCCCTTGCTGTTCAGCCCGGAAACACTATGAACTGTTAGCTGCTGCTTGAGAAGGGAGCCTGGCCGCAGGGCATGGGCATCTCCCCGCCACATGAGCGAGGAACACAGGTGACCTCCCTTCACTGCGAGGGTGACCCAAGCAGCAGAAACATAAACTCCACTAGATTCCAAAGAAGTAATCCTATCACAGACATATCCACTTAATTTCAAGCTGTAAGTAGACCTTTTAACCACCTACAAGCAAATTGATTACTTTTAGGGTAAATACACTTACTCTTGAATTTTCCAGTGACTTGTAAGTGATCCACTCTCAAAACAATCAATTTCTCGTTTCCTCTTCCCGATTCCACATACGTGTACAGCCGACTTCTCAGCGGGTTGCTGTCCCCACTCATAAAAATGTGAACCAGAAAAATCCCCAGGGAGTGTGCAGGCCTGCCTCCTCGGGTTCTTCCGCGGCTGGAGAAAGAGGCTGGAGCCGACGGAAAGTTGAGCGTTGAGACCAGCAGCCCACGAGCACCTATCCCAGGCCGGCCCTTGCGCTCGGCTTCTCCGACTCCTCACTTTCAAGTCTTAGACGCAAGGACCAAACATTCTGGAAAAGCTGGGCACAGAAGGTGAAGGAAAAGGTTGACCCTCGCTGGCCAGAGGTGAGACCCAGAGAGCAGTCGATTCCCTCTGCAGATTCCCGTCCCCACCACAGGTGATTTGAAGATGCATGAGGTCTAACTCTTGGCCAAGAGAGAATCATCCCTGTGTTGTTTAAACACGATGCCAGGCTTCCTGCGGGATACTTTTCATGAAGACTTCGACGAAGCGTGACCAATCTCTACAACTCTGTTAGGAAGTTACGCCTGTTCACCCCCCCTTTCAAATGTTTGGGACTAAGAGAAGCTTCTGGCCGAACAATTCTCCTGAGTCCAATGGTAGGTGTGCACACACATGGCCAGGCAGACCCTCACGCACAGGTCAAGATCTACGTTGAGACAGTCCGGAGACGTCCCCACATTAGCTGTGGTGGCAGTGAATAAATCTCGCGGAGTGGTGCTTTGAGCATCACCGTCTGATTAGAGGCCTCCAGGGGACCTATTACCTGGCAACATGAACTCATCCACATTTTTATAACGAATAACAGATATCTTTCCTAAGAAGAACAGTGGGTGTAAGGTGGTTCTGGCAGGTTTGTGCTGAGACCCACACGGTGGAAATCAGCCCGTTTTCAATGCGAAGCCCGTCTGGCTGGTGGCAGCAGAGCTCTCAGTGAGGACACAGACTCGTGGAGGATTCC